GGCTCGACTCGAATAGATTTAGTGTAGGTTGAAATTGGCTTGTGGCTCTTTATAATCGATTTCAAGTCGAGCTGGATCAACATTGAATCTAGCTCAATCTAGTTCAAATTTGAAATGAATTGGCACAAATTGAGTTACTTGGATCCGTTTCAACTCAGAATCGGCTTGATGCAACTCAAAATTTAAGCTAAATAAATCAAATTGAGATATTTGAATTCGTTCCAGCTTGAAATTGACGTGTGACTCTTTATATTCAATTTTACTTGAGCATTATATGTATACATATAATATTTAAAAATAAAAGATACAACAAGCCGATATTGAGTCAAATTGAGCCGATCAATGTTGGCTCGAAATCAGCGTGAGAAAATTTAATCCAAAATTTTGGCTCGTTTATTTCCCTCTAATCTCAATTCAAGCCAAAATTTGGATTAATTTTTTAACGATTAATGATCTTCGAGCTAAATTTAAAGCCCTAACTCTCTCTAGTCAAAGTCCTCGATTAACCCTCGTAAAGGTTTGGATCTTATTGTGAGTTTGCGATATCCTTTGTAATGTGATGAGTTCATTTCATATATCTCTCTCTATAAGCTGATGGGTTGTAAGGCTCCCGATACTAGAGTTAAACCAACCTACAACCAAAAAATAAATATTATTATTCGAAGCAAATAAGCGGCAACAAGGTCACAACGAAAAGGAAATACAACAACAAACTCACAACATTAACAAACTTAATGAAAGTGGATACTAAGAGTGGTGATTTGTAAATGAGGTTGTACGTTGGTCGTGTGTTCAATCGGGAAAGGATGAGGAGTTTTGTCGGTTGAAAGAAGGTTGGGGGTTGTCCATTACGGTGTGGGGCTTGTCCATTGCGGTGTGGGGGTTGTAGGGGATGGAGAAGAGATTAGGTGGCAGAGAGCTAGCTCGTCAAGGGTGGAACAACAGTTAGGATGCGAGAAAGGGGATTCCGTGAAGATGGGACAACAAAGAGGTGGCAGGAAAGAGGTTGGTTGGGTGTTGGAAGGCTACAACGAGGGATGAAAATAAGTTGGATGGAGCTAGGTGATATGTGGTTGCAGGAAAACAACGAGAATAGTGTTTGTCAGATGGTTAAAGCAAATATTATGAGGGCGACGACCAAGGGAAGGGTGGGGGTTGCAAGATAGCCAAGGGAAAGTTGTCCGAGGGCAGCAACAGTGAGGGGAAATGCTGAAAATAGGTTTCAAAAGAGTTTAATAAGATAAATATTTTCATGGGATCGAGCAACAGCTGGAGCGCCACTAGAGCCCTTGGAGAAGGTCACCACCTCAGACGAGACACAACCAGAGCACCATTCATCGTCAGATACAACTCTAGAAGGAAAACAGTCTAACAATTGACTTGGACAGAAATCTGAAATATGGAAGAAAAATTAAACTCTAAGGCAGCAAACAACATATTTATAATAATTACTAGTAGTTAGATATCAAGCTCTTGCAGGTTTTGAAGAGCTTTGATATCATTCATTGAAGCTTCTGATTCCTTATAAGTCTATCATGTTGTTGTAGTAGAGATATTGCAAACCCCTAGGTGGTCGATCATGTAGGTGATGTCATTCCATAGCAAGTCTTTATAGAATAAATATGCATCCTCACTTGGTATATCATAAGTTGGAGCTACAAATATATGTAGGTTCCTGTAATGTAACTTTTGAGCCCTTAAGTCTGAAATTGTATTTTTTTTTACTTCTCTTAATTAGCAGAAAGAAGCTGATAAACCAATATGTGATGAGAAATCAATTCTAGGGTGAAATCTATGGCAGGCTTCACCACTGTCACTAGCAACCACTCAAGTGAGACCTCTTCTTCTTCATTAATAGGAGATAGATCCCAGTTAAGAACTTTCTTCTTAATCAAGCTCCTAAGACAAATTTCAAGGGTGGGGTTTGATATACCAAAATAATGTGTTATTT